GTTAAAAGCTGGTTGATTCTTCTATAAGTTGTCCAATTTTGAGGGTGATCAGACGGTGAGAAGAATCAACCAGCTTTCAAATGCACTTGGTTTGGAGACATTCCAACAGTTGGATCTCAAGATATTCCATTAGCCCTGGAGCCACTTGAAGTCGGCCAGCAAGTCACTCGACCATGGTGATCAACCTATTTCCCGCGGTCAAAAGCTTACCGACCGCGGCCAACCAGCCAATCCCCGCGGTCTCAAAACTCCCGACCGCGGCAATCAAGCTCCGAATTAAAGCCCATGTATCTGAAGACCAAAGTCATTCTCAGCCTCAATTCCGGAACCCTAGAGACCATGGAGTATTGGAGACTATAAATACATGTCATCTATGTCGTTTTTAGACACGACCATTCATACTTTACAAAAACCCTTTTCCTTTAGCCGTTTTTATGAGATTTTTGTAGAAGATTGTTCAAGTCCGAGTTCTTTAATAGAGAAGTTTTCTTTATCTCTTTTCTTTACTATTTTTCATTACTTTTATTAAAACCGATGATGATGCCGTCCTCAGCCATGTCTGAGTAGATCCCGAGTTGGGCTTAGAGTTCCCGAAAGGGGCTCTCATAATCGATTAAGACATCTAGGTTTATAGATCAGGGATTTCGACATGTTCTCTGTTTATTCTTGTTCTTATTGCATGTATGCTTGATTGATCAGCTAGTATCTAGATAGTTAGTGTTGCGGAAGTTTTCATTAAGTATCAGCCCTAGAATGAAACAGGCGATTTTTCCGTAGGAGTGGAAACCTACCTGCGGCGAGATCGTGAGTATTGACGAGTCTTGTGCAGCTCTTGCGTTCTCTCCCTTCCAGGGCCAGAGTGGAAACGTACTGGTCAGAGTTGCGAGAAACAGTTGCTTATGATCACGACAGTGACGTAGTCATACCGCCGTACTCTAGCTCTAGAACCCATATATTGTTATCCGTCAATCGTAATCTATCTACCTTAGTGTTAAAACCGATTATGATCCCTTAGAGTTCCCAAAAGCTCAGCGTCTTTAGCCATAGTTTACAATTCCATCGATTTGTATTTGCCTATTTAGACCTACATTTCAATTTCCTTAGTTCGATATTTACTTGCTTTATTAGTATTGCATTCAATATTTTACTTGCCTTATTAGTCTTTCATTCGATATTCTACTTATTCTATTTGCCTTTCATTCGATTTCTTTACTTGCTTTTTAGGATAGATTTATTTACTTTCTTTTTTTTTAGTTTAATTCGTGACAAACAAACAACCTCTAAAACCAATTTAGTCTAGACATAAAGTTAAGAACCGTAGAAGAATATCAGGCACACAAATCTCTGTGGATTCGATCCCTAAATACTACAACTGATTAGCTGTGCACTTGCGGCTTTCATTTGTTTTGTTAAGGGTAAAACTTGTTCCCTCACGCAGTTGACACGACATCAGTCAGGTCCTTTCATAGTCAAGGAGGTTCGCCCCTATGGTGACATCGTCCTCCTCACACCAGATGGCAGCAGGGAGTTCACAATGAATGGACATAGGGTGAAGCACTACTGGGCCAAAGCTGAAATTCCGGATGGACATATCGTTCCTCTGGACGGTGCACCTCCTGCTTAAATCACCATCAAGTCAAGCTAGTTACTTTAAACAAGCGCTTGGTGGAAGGCAATCCACTGGTGAGTCTGTACATAAGTCTTTTGTTTCAGTTGATTTTCGTTTTTCTTTTCGTGTTTTAGGTGAAACAGGGCTGGTATCGAGCGACACCATCATCGGTGTCGCCTGTCACTTATTCTCCCTTTAAAAAAAAAAAAGTTTCGGACCTAGCTTAACCGGAATTTCAGAACCAGAGTGGAATCGCGAGCTGATCGGGCACGAGGAGATTTGGTCTGCACTTTGCAAGTGTCGTGCGACACCACCCTCGGTGTCGCTCGACACTCACAAACAGGTAAGTCTCCTTTTTCCCACTTTTATTTAAAACCCTCGCACCCATTCTCCTTTCCTCCTCGCCGCACTCGACACTTTCTGAGTAGTAAGACATTCTAACCCATTGCATTCGTCCTTCTGACTTTCTCTTTTGTCACCAACTTCGGATTTGATTACACTAGGGACAGTGTTGATCAAGTCTGGGGGAGGTAGTTGCTGACATTGTGTTTGTTTTTCTTAAGATTCAGTTGTGTCAAAACGTTTTTGAGTCAAAACCTGTTGGAGATCATGATGCTTTTCTTGGAATTATTGCGCTGACCTTTCACCTAAGTGACCACTGCTGCAGATTCAGTCCAGATCCGACTAATGAAAAATCCAAAGGCTGACCAGTTGACTAGAGGCGTCCATTTTTCCAACAGAATCCAGTAACCTGAGCTAATTTCTGAACTCTTTCTTTTACCTCATTCATGTGACTGATGTTCATAGAGATTGATTCCTCGTTCATACTTGACAAATGAAAGCCTGTGTGAAATTTCATGTTGGTGATTCTCTCCCTGTGACGAGCTAATAAAGTGAAGAAAGAAAGAAAAAGGGCGAAAAGATTGAGATATTTTTCGCTTAGGAGTGAAGGGCTAGGAATGTTTCCAATGATCCCATTATTTCACTTCTAAGTTGGAATGATCACACAAAGGAAGGAAGTGAGGGGTAGGAAACTTTCCCATGACCCCTCTATTCGCTGAAAACCTTTGATACAAGGTAAGGGGACAACTCGGGGACTTGATGGCAAACACCATCAGTACTCGCAGCTCTACCCTTATCGAGTATACGCCATAAAAAAAAAGATGATGAATGTGCGAAAAGAACAAGTCTGGGGGAGAGAAAGATACCAAAGTATGTAAGGCTGATTTGTTTGAGTATAGTTTGGGAAAGAGTCTAGAAGGTTCTTGGCATTGGAATCATCAGTGAGACCCAGCGATGAGGTTTATGGACAATGTTGTGGAATTTTGGACTTAATATGTAAAGCTGTGAACGTCTGCGGAGAAGTACATGGTGGTTCGATTTGGAATGATGAAGCAGTAGTTGAGTTGAAAGCAATTGGTCATAAGCGATGTTCCAGTGAAAGGTTGAGTCTCTGTGTTTTCAAACCTCTTTCTCTTATTTGGTGTTCTGTTTGCTTGAGGGCAAGCAAATGCTAAGTCTGGGGGAGTTGATATATCATGGTTTTTATGGTTTTTAACCATGGTATAAGTCTTATTTATAGAGTCTTTTAGTGTCTTTCGAGTCTTTTGGAGTCTTTTCAGGTCATAGGTACGTTTGGAGCTTAACTGGAGACTTTGGAGCACTTTGGAGCTTAATCAGGATCAAATTCGTCAAGTATGGATTTTGTGCTTTAGTGTCGCTCGACAGCATGGAGAGTGACGCTCGACACTTGTCAGAGAAATAAGGAAAATGCGATTTTGTTTCCTATTTGAAGAAGGAGTTGGGCCTAAACGTTTCCAAGGAAGCCCAAAACGTGTTTTAGAGATATATATATAGGATTTTTATTCCCTTTTTATCAATACCTTAGATTTTTGAGAAAGAGATATTCTGAGTTTTTCAGCTTTTGCGATTTTGAGAGCTAGGGGAGACAAGTCTAAACTCTTTTCGTTTAGAGAGAAGATTTCGAACCCCTTTATCTATTTCGATTTAATCTATTGCTTTCTATTCATCATGTTTGTTGTTTCGATAACCATGTCTGAGTAGATCACCTGTTAGGTTTAGGGTTAATTAGGGTTTTCTTTGGATGATTGATTAAATTGCTAGTTAGGGTTCATATCTATTAGTTCTTCATCTTAGGTTGTTCTTAATGCTAATTCTGGACTGATCACCTAGAACTTAGATCTTAGGTTGCTTAATTGACACAGAAGTGTAATTGAATAACTGGAAAGAACCTAGGTTGAGCAAAGTAGCTATTCGCAAAGGAATTTGGTTTAGACACCTTGTGAACATATCGAACTTGTGCATTAAGGCTGGTTTAAATCTGTAGGATTTGCAAAAGGAATTTGGAATTCTAGGATTATAACTTAGATAATTCTAACAACGGAAGTTGGTTAATTATAATTATGTGTTTCGAGTTCAAGAACCGTGCTTAATAACTGAACCCTGATTAGTTAAGTTGATATGCATTCATTGATCTCCTGAAAAACGCCCTAGACCTAATCCTTATCCAATCGAGCTTACAAACCGTTTTTACCGATGCTTAATTCATCTTAGTCGCATTGCCATTTACTTCGCATATTTATGCTTAGCGTAACTCTATCTCTACAAGGTTTATTAAGTGATCTCTTGTCTCTGTGGTTCGACCCCTAGAAACTACAACTGCACATCTGTGCTCTTGCAGAGTAGCTTAGGGATTACACTTTGAGCAGATCACCATGCTTTCTCAACAATCCTTCCAAAGTCTTGTTCACAAAATGAGATCCTCCATCAGAGATTACAACCCTTGGTACTCCAAATCTTGGGAAGATAATGCTCTTGAACAACTTCAACACTACCTTGGAATCATTGGTAAGGGAAGCAATGGCCAAAACCCACTTGGACACATAGTCCACAGCCACTAGTATGTACTGATTCCCATAGGATGAAATGAAGGGCCCCATAAAGTAAACTCCCCAGCAATCAAAGATCTCAACCTCTAAAATTGGGTTTTGAGGCATCTCACTCCTCTTTGAAATGTTCTCATGCCTCTGACAGGCATCACATGATGAAACAACCAGCTCAGCATCCTTGAACATTGTGGGCCACCAAAACCCACTCTGAAGAACCTTGGCTACAGTCTTGAATGCTCCCCTGTGACCCCCAAAAGCCGAACCATGGCATTCTTGCAACATAGGTTGCATCTCCTCCTCAGCAAGACACCTTCTATACAGCTGATCTTTGTTCAGGACATACAGGTAGGGTTCATCCCAATGGTATTTTTGGACATCTCTGAAGAACTTCTTTCTGTGGTAAGCATCAAGTTCAGGTGGTTCCACTCCACAAGCAAGAAAGTTCACAATATCAGCAAACCAGGGCATTCTCTTCTCTTGGATGCTATCCACTTCTTCAAACTCCAAATAAGAGTGGATCACCATCAGTGATTCCTCAGGAAGACTGTCATTAAGAGGGACTTCAGAGTCTATTCTCAACCTAGATAGATGGTCTGCAGCTCCATTCTCTATACCCTTCTTGTCTGGTACTTCCATATCAAACTCCTAAAGTAGTTTAACCCATCTTAACAGTCTAGGCTTGGCATCTTTCTTGGTCATCAGATACCTGAGGGCTGCATGATCAGTATATACAATGAATTTTAATCCCACCAGGTAGCTTCTGAATTTATCAAAGGCAAAGACTATTGCCAGCATTTCTTTCTCAGTGGTAGCATACTTCTCTTGTGCAGAGTCAAGTGTTCTACTGGCATAGTAGATGACATGTAGCTTCTTGTCCTTCTTTTGGACAAGTACTGCTCGAACTGCAAAATCAGATGCATCTGTCATAACCTCAAAAGGAAGGGACCAGTCTGGGGCTTGGACAATTGGTGCACCGACTAATGCATCCTTGATCATCTTGAAGGCCTCTTCACACTCAGCATTAAAGATGAAATCAACTTCTTTACACAACAGCCTTGTCAAGGGCCTAGCTATTCTTGAGAAGTCTTTGATAAATATTTTGTAAAACCCTGCATGCCCAAGGAAACTCCTTATTCCTTTGCCTGAAGTGGGAGTTTGCAGATTCACCATCACTTCCACCTTTGCTCTATCAACCTCTATGCCCTTCTCTGATATCTTGTGCCCAAGTACTATTCCTTCCTGCACCATGAAGTGGCATTTCTCCCAGTTCAACACCAAGTTATGCTGCTCACATCTCTCCAAGACCTGTGACAAATTAGAGAGAAAATCTGAGAAGGAGAAGCCATAGACAATAAAATCATCCATGAACACCTCAACCTTCTCTTCAATGATGTCAGAGAATATATGCATCATGCAACGTTGAAATGTGACAGGGGCATTACAGAGACCAAAAGGCATGCGCCTGTATTCAAATGTGCCATAAGAGCAAGTAAATATTGTTTTCTCTTGATCTCTTGGATCTATGGGAATTTGAAAAAATCCAGAGTACCCATCGAGAAAACAAAAGAAGGGGTGGTTTGCAAGCCTCTCTAACATCTGATCAATGAAAGGCAAAGGAAAATGATCCTTCCTAGAGGCTGCATTGAGCTTTCTATATTCTATAGACATTATGTGTCCTGTTACAGTCCTAGTAGCTATCAGCTCATCCTTCTCGTTTTTAACCACTGTGATCCCACCCTTCTTGGGCACAACATGAACAGGAGATACCCATCTTGAGTCAGAGATTTTGTCAATTATCCCTGCCTCAAGAAGCTGGAGTATCTCCTTCTCAACCACCTCCTTAAGGTTTTGGTTAAGACGTCTTTGATGCTCAATAGAGGACATAGATTGGTCCTGTAGGTGTATCTTGTGGGTGCAAATGTCAGGAGAGATCCCTCTACTATCAGCCAAAGAATATCCTATGGCTCTCCTGAACTTTCTTATCTCACTAAGCAATGCACTCTCTTGATGCTCTAATAAGCTATCATTGATGATTATTGGATATATGGAGTTTAAGCCCAAGAAAGCATACCTGAGCCCTGTTGGTAAAGGCTTGAGCTCAACAGG